CAGGCCCAAGCTGAGAACACAGCTGTTTTCACTTTAAGAATATAACCTGGGAACAGAATTAACCTGGGAGAGCGGGGAGGAGCCAAGCAGCTGCTATGGGAAGCTTTATCCTGTAGCCCAAACAGGAGAGAGCTCCCAATCTCCAGGCTTTTCATCCTCCATCACCACAGGACGCTATCAATATCACAGAGACACTCATTTTGTCACAGATAAAGAACAAATTTTGATCATCTCTCCAATGCCCAATTTTCCTCTAGCTGAGAGAATGGGAGGTGGGGGGGGGAACCACCTACCCTTCTCTAGACCTTGGATGGATGGGGATATGGATTTATAAAATACCTGGCTACATCCAGTCAATAAAACTCATTTTGAGAGCCATGCCCACGTACGCGATTAGCTGTCAGGTGGTAATCTGGGCAGGGGAGGGGCTCCAATACTGGTTTCTGGAAGCTTTGTTTCATTTTCCCTTCTAGATTCAGCTCTTCATTTGTTCCTCTTGTTCTATAAATGGGCAAAACCTGAACAAAATGAGGATTTTTTGCAAAACATTCTAAAGAGCAAGCCTACAGTGGGGAAGACGGAAGGCACTCAGCAGTACTTCCAGCTCCTGGCCCCTGGCGTCCACAGCAAAACCCTCAGAATTCCATACTGGGGGTCACAGCTTCCCTTTGAATTCCCAGCTTATGTCGCCATATGTTGCCACCTTGATGCTATTTAGACAGTTTTCTTCTAGCACGCAGACAGTGAACTGGTCTCGTTTAAGCCAGTTGTTATTTGACAGGAGCGTATTCCCTCAGATCTGAAGCTGTACTAACAGTGCTACACTCTCTGCTCTAATCAACCATGGTATAAATCTGGGTAACACACCTATCAGGCATTTGCGAGATGGGGAAGAAAAGAAGACGCACAGAAGGACTTTAGGGGTCATACAGTTCAGGATATTCAAAAGGCACAAGCGTTCTCTGTGTAGCTTCTAAGAAAGCAGAGCTCCGAATTCTACCTTGCTAACATAATTATTTCCTGTTTTAAACATTTAGCTGCATGCTGCTGTACCCTTGCTGGGCCTCAGAAGGAAAGCAAGCAAACTAAGAGCCCTACTGTACGTTCTTCATTCCCAGCAATGTTCCTATGAGAGAATCTTATTAATGAGCTTGCAAACGAGCACCCAACAGGGGAATGTCACAAACAAGAGAGGCTAATGCCCCAGAAAATCAAATAACTGAACACTTGGCTGATTGTGGTGCCTTTCATATTTATAATAAAAAAGAGGAGGGGGGACTTTAATTCACTGATTCTGGAAGGGTCAACACCTTGCTGAACAAAACAACTCATTTATTTATGTTCAGAAATCTCCAGATGATAAATTACATTGATGTTAATCACTTCAATGCATGCTACACAATTAATATCTGTACTCACCAAAATTTAAGGGTTATTAAAAGTATGACAGCACACACATCTGGCTGATTTCTCACATAATTGGGCACAACAGTTTCTCCTGGTACCACAAATAGAGGTGCTAACTAACAAACACTACAAATACTGGTTCAATTAATTAGGACTTGAATCCGCAAGACAAAAAAAAAAAGAAAAAAGAAAAAAAGCAATACCCAGTTACAGCTCAACCCTTGTCTACTATGTAACATGGTGGACTCCATCTTAAGGGGAGACGTACACTCCTCCCTTTCTTTTACCACTCCTCCCTTTGTCTCCTTTCATGTAGGAAAATCAATGGCACAGTGAAGGAAATTTCATTTCCTTCTGAATGCCATCTGTAAAGCAGAACCTAACTTGTATGGGATTCTACTACCAGTCACCTAGCCCTGCTCAATGCCTGGTTCACATTCATTTATTTTAGCTGGAGCAGAGAGCTCATCCCATAAACCTTCCTTGTCCAAATTGGCCAGGATGAAGACAGCTGAGGCTACTAAAGGGTACTCAGACCAATGTGCCTTGCAGGCCTTCTGACTCGGGACAGAGTGAGAAGGCTGTGAAGGGGTTCACTATTCCTGGCAACTCTGTGCTGATCCCTGATGATATTCTGAAGAAATCTTCTTAGCTTACAGAGGAGAAGACATTAAAAAGAATAATGGTATATTTTAAATTTTTTAGATTAAAACACATACCGAAAAAAATCCGTAACTTTACAGCTTTTAACAGCAAATCATAGTTAGGTTAAAACAATAAAGTGGCCGAAGGGAATTAGGTCTTATCAGTGATTGAAGAAATTAGCAAAACTATATTGGGTAGATGAATTCCTTATATTGCAAGCAAAATGTGGTGACTGATTTAATTCCTCCCTCTAGTATATTGATATTAAAAGAGTTGTTAGGGGTTAGTGACCCCATGAAGGTGATAACTTCAGGGATTTGAGTCAACTTAAAAGGGGGGAGAGGAGAAGCGTACTGTTAATCTTCATGGGTATCTCTAGTAATTCAGTGTGTACACAAAGAATCCTATCCCTTCCCTTAGACAGTGATGCATGTCTGCAGAGAAAGTACTGCTGTGAGGGACTGGCGCTGGGCTCCCACCAGTGTATCAGCTGACTTAGGGCCTAATGCACCTGGCCTTCAGCCTTGGGGACAGGTGGCTTTTGATAGGGAAGAGCTACTGGTGTTCAAGGAGACTCAAGTTGGTTGGGAATGAAGTCTTTTCTTGCTGGCTGATTTCACAAGGGTCAGCACAGCTCTGAGGATGGAACGATATTCATAGACCGAAGGGCCGGGTGACTTTCTTAAGTTCCAAGAGTCTTAATTAAGATTACAAACCAGACCCAATTCCCTCTCTGAATTATATAAAGTGCTGTAATCTCTATCTTCCTTTATATAAGATGATTTCCATCCATCTATCTATCTATCTATCTATCTATCTATCTATCTATCTATCTATCTATTATCTATCTAACTTATAGCACCAAGAATATAATGTCTATATAATTCTAGTTGAGAGAAGAACAGAGTCAGCTACCAAAGGCGGTCGTGGTGAAATGAGGAGTAGCTGCAGACTCATTTTTTGGAAGGTGTCACAGTGCCTCTCCTGAGGGAGGAGCCCACAGTCTTTTGTTAGATTGGAGCCAAATGGATTCAGATACAGGGCTGTATTCATTTTCGTGGAAGGACAAATCCCTCTTGAGTCTACAGAAAATGAAAACAAGGCTAGGAATCATTACCACATTTTCCAGGGGTAGGAGGTATACTGCCTGAAATATTCTGCATTTGGCAGGGAATGTAATTTTGTAGGTGGGAGGGGCTATACACCATTTAAAAGATACTTCGGGAAACTACTTAAAGGGTTTAGGGGTGGAAACTGGGTTGGATATCCACTCAGGACTCACAAAGGAGCTAATGTATTATTAAAGCTAATGGGCCCCTACAAGGAACGTTAATGGATATTAAGTTTGCTTAAATGAATTACATATTAACAAAGTCACAAGAAATCTAGTATCTGCCAATTTAGATAATATCTGATCATTTCTGTTTTCCCATTATAGGGACATTACACCACAATAGTTTTAGTGATATGAAAATTATAAGCATGATGCTCATAATGAAGCTATATAATGAAGTAGAGGGAATGAATTAACAAGAAAAACCTGCGCTCTCTAATGTAAATTGAGCCATGCTCACAGGGCAAGAAGAGGTTGGGACAAGACGGTCTCTTATAAGCAAGTTTATAACTTTCCCTACATCTTGTTCTACTTGGACAATTTAAATACACAATAAAAGGGGTATCAGCTGAAAAACGGCTTCCAAAGGCAAATTCAAGTCCCAAGAACCAATGAATATGGCCTAATTTGGAAAAAGAATCTTTGCATGTGCAATCTTAAAAGATGAGAAAACTCTGCATCATCTGGGTGGGCCCTAACCTCGGTGACAGTGTGTTTCTATATGACACACAAGCCCCCTGAGTGATGGGAATGGGCTGTGAAGTGTCACCCAAGACCATCAGAAAATACAGATATTTACATTACAATTCATAACAGTAGCAAAAATTACAGTTATAAAGTATCAAATGAAAATAATTTTATAGTCGGTGGGTCAACACAACATGAAGAGCATAAAGGGTCACAGCACCAGGAAGGGTGACACCCGCTGCCCTAATCGCTGGGGGACTCCTACAGTACTTGCCCTATAAAGAGCAAAAGGGACCCTCTACTAAGGTCTTTGGAGGGAAGGTGGTCCAAATAAGCCCGTGGTTTTTTGCTCCTTTGGAATTTAGAAATGTGAATGGATTTCTGTGCTTTTGGGACAGGCCGGTGGTGGCACTGCCCATTGTTACGGTGGCCCTAAGGCACTAGCGAGTTGGCAATGTCTTTCCCCCATCAGACCCTAATCACTGCTCGCCCACCAAACCCTCATAGCACCATCCACAGGACATATCCCACTGCATCCTGGGACTTCCACAGGCCAGACTACAGAAGAAATCTTTTGATGAAAAGTGACAGAAGACAGCCACCTGGTCCCAATCTTGGATGGAGCATGGCTTTGGACAGAAAGGTCACTCCATCTTCTGCACTGGAGGAGAAGACAAGGAGACCTCTTCCTTAGTTTACAGGGGATGGTGAGGGACAGTCTCACTCCCATGGAGAATTATGGATGAAGTTTAACTAAAGCTAAATAGAAGATACACTTTAGAACAAACTATTGGTACAAAATGGGAAGAAAAAGATAAACATCTAGTGTTTATGATGAATTAGGGAGGGAAGAGGAACCACCAGAGACTTAGCTGGTCTGGGAATGATGACAGTCAACTGAAAGGCACGGTGAAGCAGCCTGGCACTATCTTAGCTTCATGTCTGAGTTAGAAACAGCAACTTTACATTCTCATCGGCACTTGGTAATACAGTAGCATTATAGCAGAACGATATTTCGATTACTTTTCTACCAAGATAATAGGGGAAAACCCCATCTACAGCATACGAAATGTATACAGACTTCCAGTGAGTGACTGCCAGGAGCTTCCAAGCACTGGCCTCAAAACAAGATGCTTGGCTTACTCACACTGCACTTCTAGATAGCGCTGGGTCTGCAGGTTTCCAGTGACTGCAGGGTGCTCCACCTGACAGATCACTGGGACCCCATCATCTTCCTTGTGCACCTTCAGCATCAGCTGACTGGTCACAGTGTACATGTCCGACCACTCTTCCACCTCTGATTTGCCTGTGGGAGACAAAACAGATCACGATCCTTTTCTTTTCTCCCCAACCCCAACAGTGTTATTTTAGTACCATCATGTCAACATCATAGGTCAGGGCAATCTAGGACTGGAGACCCCATAAAATGGTTATTTCCTTTAGTTTCCTTCTTTTCAGCCTTGTATAACAGTAGTTCAGATACATTTGAAACCTAAGCAATATACATTATTTCAATTCAAATATGTTTATTTCTTTTATCTTGGAACCTCTTGCCAAGTCAGTTTTAAGTTCAACCATTTTGACACTTGGCTGCCTGTGGCATTAAGAGGAGGAAGGAAAAAAGCCTTTCACCCCTACGACCATCAGAACTTCAAATATCTACAGGGCTGTCATGCCACTGTAAACCTAGGGTGAAGTCCAAATCCCCTGAGTAATTCCATCAGCAGTGGAGACAAAAACAAGCCCCATTTGCCTACCCCTGTCATCCACAATTAAGAGGAAAAGTAACTTAATGGATTTATATAATTGAAATTGTAATTGAAATGTTTAAACTCTGAGACTTCTGGAAGACCACAAGAAATGCAATGGCAGTGGGCTAGAGCAAAGAAAGATATAGGGCTTTGGGCCAGATGGGAGACAAGTCCAAGAACACCCAGAGATGGAGGGAGGAGGCTTCCGGAGGGAGTGAATAGGCCTAGGCAGTCCTTTCCTGAACCCTGGACTCCCGAAGCACGACACACCATTAACTTTCTTTGAATGTTTTGTGTGTGCCGGTCCACAGTTAATGGCTCAATTCACTTAGACAGAGAAACTCCTCCCTTTCAAAACCATACCTAGGAAGTAGGAGTTTAAGACAGAAGGAGCTTTTGGAGATTGGCTGCTCTCCTTTTCTGGATATAGATTCCCACATCACCTATCTCAAAGGGCCACCTTCTTCCTCACACTGGTTAATTATTGAATGAGCACACATACAGTCCTTATTCTGCCTCAGGTGCTTCCCCAGTGCTTGGTAAATGTTTTCTCATTTCATCTTCATAATAACACCCCAGTATTATTGTTCCTTTTTTAGAGGAAACTGAGGCACATGGCTGAGTAGTTCCATTAGAGGTGAGTGCTTTGTTTAGGCACTACGTTCAGGGCAACCTGGAAAAGGAACAGAGCCAAAGGCTGCCAGCTGTGAGTACTCGATAGAAAATGCCCACATTTCTACAATACAGGGCTATCCAAGCTCCCTTAGGGTCACCCCAAAGGCAGAGACTTTGCAGAAGAATTACGTGTTCACCAGCAAAGTCATCTCTGTAAGTTCTTAATTAACATAAGCTCTTAGTCTGCAAAGCTCTTAGTCTTGCAGGAGAGCACATAACCACAGCTCACGGACGGTGCGATGAATCGTCCTGAGAGTGAACGGCCTGAAGTTTAAAAAAACACACAGCATGAAAACCTGGGGTTCTACACCATCAAGTCACCACAAAACAGGATAAAAGCAGTGAAACCTGAGGCACAGACAGAGACAGCCTCAGACGTCGGGACATCCCTGACATAGGCTCTTCCTGGTCTTGAAGTGTTCCTGTTTACAGTTTGCTTCACCACCAACTCTCAAAGCACAGAGGGGTGGATACGAGCGAAGGCAATAAAAGCCATCTCGTTCTGGCCTCAGATGTTTTTGCTAATTGATTAGAAACTGTATCTGAATGGATACTTTTGGTTCAGGAACAATTGTTTGTAGTTTCCACAAAGGCCCACTTGCTAGAGTCGAGTGCCCGCTCACTGCTTCATGCCTGAGCAGTCTCCATCATACCTTTGAGTTCCTTGTTCCCTTTGAACCACCGGATGGTCGTAGCCGGCTTGCTGGCCATGGCAGTGCAGTTGACTTCAATCTCCTCCCCTTCAACTGCCGTGTCTTTCTGGATATCGATCATCAAGTTACGTGGAGGGACTACAAATTAAACACATATGCTTTATAAGCAGGGGGCCCGCTTATGGACTGATCCTCGTCTTCCTTAGGGATCAGCGTTATTGTTACCAATAAAGAGGCAGACAAGGGACACTGCTGATGGGATCACTTCCAGATGACAAATTGCCAGGGGAGGGGAAGAACTGGACAGACAACGTCCTGTAAGGTGGATCAGGCATAATCAGTTACTTCAGAATGTCTTTCCTAAATGTCTTAGTGACCAGTGACCACTCTCCAATCCCTGAATTATCACTGATTGAGGACTAACAGTCGAGACATTAGTCATGAGAAAATGGATAAGGAAAGAGGTAGAAAACCAAGAGAACAGACACTATTGAAATCAATGTCCTTATCTGGAAGCCCCTGAAAGCAACACTTCTCCTTGAACCCAACCCTTGGATTTCAATCTTCATAGGAAAGACTTCAAAGTCTACTAACCATGCTAAAAACCTTGGAGTCCCTTAGAAGAACCACTCACCACAAACACTGATGGAAAAAGTATGCCTCAGAGTCGGCTCCACTGAACCAGACTGAAAGAAGTTGAGACACGCTCCTGTCCTTCAGTGAGCAGAGTGCCACTGAAAAGAAGGTTCAGCAATATAGGGAAATGCCAGGTCTGTGCAAGCACTGACCATACTCCCAATTCTATGGCTCAGATCTTGGAAACCAAAGGAGAAAGAGATTCCCAAACGCTTGAAAGGCACTCAGATATCAGAATTAAAACACTTTTCTAGAAGCATATTAAATATCTCTGTAATAAAATAGTCAAAACAAAAGGCTTGAGGTCAACACACTGACTAGCAATCGAGGGTCTGAGCATGACAGTAGTGAAGAGGAGGACTAGAGCTATCTTTTTTTTTTTTTAATATGAAACTGAGTTGAAGGTGAAACTTCATACAACGTGTGGTCCTACCTCAAGACTGAGCCTCCTGAAATAAAAATCAGTGAGAATACAGAATTCAGTAGTGTGAGTCTAAGAATATGAGCCCTGGCCACCATGAATAAGCAAAGACAGGGCTGAGACTTATGATTAATAAGTTTCTCAACTCAGAAGAGAAACAAGAAATTAAATATGTATAAACATGCCATCCTGACCATCAAGTTGAATAATACATCTCTGATACTGCTTCAATAAATTATGGGATTAAACCATGTTATTTGGGATTTCCAACTGTTCCAGTCCAATGTGAAAAGTCTGCCCACAGGAAGACTTTCATACTGAATTAGAGCGACTGAAAAGTCTTATTGGGTCTGATGAAAAGGGGGAAAACAAAGTGATTTGTTGCATATGTTTCTCAGCAAGATGGCACACTGTGGCGGCAGGGAGGGGGCAGCTGCTGGAGCAGACACTCTGCTCTCTGTTCCCACTGCATGAGGAAAAAACCACGTTTGCTCAATCAGGTAGCTTGCTAATGTGGTCTGGCCCAAATGAGTACTTACTTACTCATGGCAAAGAACTACCCTGGCTTACATTTTAAAAACTAAGCAGGAGACAGTTTAACATCCAGTTTAGGTGGGTACATCTGATGCAATTTTTTGAGACCCAGAAGGGGGGCAACAAAGAAATTGGTCTGATTTGGCTGACTGTGTCCTTTACATAGTTTATTTGTGCGAATGACAGCTGTGAGGGCCACAGACTGCCATGGACAGGACATCCTCAGGTTACGAAGACACTGCACTCTGAGTACAGGACGGTAGCAACAATGAAGGAAGACATGCTCCCGTGGGATCAGATGTTCCTGGAAACCATCTACTAAGCCTAAGGAACAAAGATCTCAGAAAGTGACAGCACAAGAGAGGTACAGAGGACACCGGGGTGTCAAAGGTCACAGAGGTTCCAAATAAATTGGAGCCCAGAAGGCAAAAGGCAGCCTTGCGTTCCCAGGGGAAATAACAACAGCGATGAAGAAGTCCTTGAAGTTGGCACACTGGACACTTCCTGATGAGAACAATAATCACTAATGTCATTGTCTGAGTCTGGCGCTAAGGATACAAGAGAGGGCAAACAGCTAAAGCCACACTGACAACACTGGAATTCCTCTGAATGGAGTATTTCTCTCACTTCATGAGAAACACGGTGACAGGCACACAAAATGCAGACACTTTCTTAATGGGAAGAGATCCAGGGGTGCTGAGACCCCACCCAGGCACTAAGTCTCAGGGGCACTTGGCTTGGATGCTGTCTGTCGGTTGTGCTCTGTGTTCTGGGCATCTTGTCCTTGTTCTCTCATTTCTTATTGTAGGTCTGACGACACATCCAAACTCCTCCCTCATAGTCTCCCCTGCCCACTCATTTCTTTCCTCGTTACTTTTCTTAAGGGCAGGACTGCTCTTTTTAGCACACAGTTTCAGAAGTCCTTGGTCACTGGGCTCTGTGTTTCGGGGCCCATAGCTGCACAGAACCACGCACAATGAGGAAGCTGGGTAGAGGGTGAGGCTGTTCACGTCATGGCAGAAAGGAAGCAAGCAGAATGGACCTAGAAAGGGCCAGGGCAGGAGGGCATAGCTCCAAGGACATGCGCCTCCTGGACATTTCTTTCAGGGAGGCCCTGTCCCCTCTCTCATAGACGATATCATATTACAAATCAATCAATCCCAAGACTAATTCATTGATTAGGTGAGACACCTCAGGATCTAACCACTTTCCTAAAGCATGGCAGCTAGTTAAATAGCCCAGAACACAGAATGCCTTAAGAGATATTCACATTCAAACTCTAACGATCTCCAACGGCAGCTCTTGGGGGAAAACCTTTACTGCCTCCATTTGGTCCTAAAGATGGTGTCTGTTCCTCCCAAATCACCAAAAATGTCTGTTAATTCAAAGTAGGGAAATAGTTGAGCAGGTGTCTTTGTGGGATGGTAGAACATCTTTTGGATATATGCTCAGGAGTGCTATAGCTGGGTCCTGAGGTAGAACTATTCCCAGTTTTCTGAGAAACCACCAAATTGATTTCCAAAGTGGTTGTCCAGGGTTGCACTCCCACCAGCAGTGGAGGAGTGTTCCCCTTGCTCCACATCCTGGCCAGCATATGCTGTCACTTTAGTTTTTTATCTTAGCCATTCTGACCAGTGTAAGATGGAATTATACCCAAAGATGTTCCACCATCTCACAGAGACATTTGCTCAACTATGTTCATAGCAGTTTCACTCGTAATAGCCAGAAACTGGAAACAACCTAGATGTCCCTCAACTGAAGAATGGATAAAGAAAATGTGGCACATCTACACAATGGAATACTATTCAACCATTAAAAACAAAGACATCATGAACTTTGCAGGTAAATGGATGCATCTTGACAGTATCATTCTGAGTGAGGCAACCCAGTTCCAAAAGGACATACATGGTATGTACTCATGAATAAGTGGATATTAGCCATAAAATATAAGATTGTCCACACTACACTCCACAGACCCAAAGAAGCTAAATAAGAAGGACGTCACAAGTGAGGATGCTTGAACCTCACTGAGAAGGGAGAACAGCCACAAGAGGCGGATGGAGGGAGGGACCTGGGTGGGAGCGGAGATGGGGAGAGGCCAGGAGAGGAGATGGGGAGAGGACAGGGGGTGTTCAGGATCCAAGGAAGGAGACAGAAATAGGCGGGTGTACAGGACAGGAAACATGAGCAGCACCGTTCGGCTTCTGTTAGGGGGCTGAAAGTGTGACAGGTGGTTAAGGTTCATCTCTGACTTTCTCCACTGCTGGTCTTAGCTGTGTGCCTTTTACCTGTTGTAAATGGTACACTGTACGTGCCTGTGACCTTCAGAGTAATCGGGTAGGTCTGATTCCCAGGATTACGCTCCTGTGCAGCTGGCATCCTCTTTATCTTAAGCCAAGAGAAAAGTGTGGAAAACTCCAAAAGCCAGAAAACATACCCTGTGTAGAACTGCAATGCGCTTGCGTGTCATTGAGGTCATCCATCGGTTTGAGAAGTAGTGCAGTGATTTCCCCAGGCCTATAAGTAGTTTTCTCAGGACTGTGAGCAGTGGTGCTCCTCTTGGTTGAGACCAGAGGAAGAGGGAGGCAAGCGGGGTGGGGGCTGTCTGGTTACTAATAAGTATAAGGTTTGATAATTTGCACTTTTGATGCTAAAAAGACACTTCCCTCAGACTCCCCCTCCAACCCCTATGTAGAAATTATTTAGTTTGAACTAGATAAACTCACAGAGCTCGACAATTCTTGGACTTTTAAAGAGCAAGGAAGAATTGGACAACACAGATCAGGTGATTCAAATTTGCCTTTCGGGAAACAGAAGGTTGGAGATAAAAAATTTATTTTGGCCTATTAATCCTATCCTACTTTTCTCCTTAACTTCATCCTGATTTCATAATGTCTATTCTAATACAAAAGAGGTCAAGTATGAAATCCATTCTAGACAAATGAATTCAAACTGTTGCTAGCCAGAGACCACACATACATGAGCCACTAAACAGATACAGCCAGTAAGAACTGCCTGCAGCCGTCAGTGGAAACAAGCACAGACCTGTCTGAGAAGGAGCATGCAGGGGAGAACCTGAATGAAATCACTCGGGGAAGCACCAGAAAATAGCCCCGAATGTCAAGGTTCCTGTTCGCTAACCTCAAACCTATAAGAGTGCTAATTATAAACATTACGCCTACAACATTGAAAAAAATCAGCAATATCAAGATAAGTCACATTAATTACCACAAAAGAGGAGTCTTGAAGCTGATCAGTATGTGAAATCTCACTCTAAGACCCTTTAAAATAATTAGGTTCTTCTGTTCCTGGAGTCTTAGCGCGAGCAGTCATTTTAGAGGAGGGAGCCGGAGTAATATTAGCCACGATTAGAGTAAGTGCATTCATCTCGGCACAGGGTCTTCTCTCTCCTGGTCATCTCCTCTTAAGAACAGAATATAAAGAGTCCTATACTGTGTGCATGGATAAGGACAGGAACGCCTCACAGGTGGAAGGAATGGCTCACAAGGCCCACATAAAGCATCACAGGAGGGGTTTTGGTTTACACAGGGATGAGATCTAAGCACAATGCAATAGCATAGAAAACATTAACAAACAGTCATTTCTGTATCTTATAATTATGCTCAAGTTTTTGCTGAATGTGTTAAATAGTTAATAGTCATATGCACAAAAACTGAGCATCTTCAACTTCTGGAGGAGTTGACAGCTGTGTAAGTACGTATAGAATCCTATTCAGAGCACCATGGAGAGCAACGGAGATGCTAATCCGTCATTCTCCATTCATTGTAATATCTAAAACTCTAAACCTTAGGAGGACGTCTTGAATGTGGATCAGTGGAAATTGTCAGATTTTGGAATATGAAAGACTCTCACACTGATGACAACAATTTTACTCTGTCAAGGAATCCTACAGTAACTTCAGTGGGAAGGACATTAAATGAATGCATAATATCTGCAAAAAGAACACTGACTAGTGTTACTTTCAAGTACACTTAAGTTAATGCTTCGATAAAATACAAGCAGGAACCTATTACTTCTAGAATAATGAGACCTCCAAATGGATTACAGGCACGATGCCACTCAGAAGCCTACGTGTTGGTAGCTGACGCCGAGCGCCGGGTATGTGCACAGTTGGACTGGTCCAGCACAGTAACTGAGACACTGACAATGGACCACTGACAACGGACAGATAGCAACTTCTTGACAATGGTCCCAAAGTTGTGCTCCTGAAAACTAAATGTGAAGCTCCAGAGATGTCCTGAAACATGGAACTGATGTGTGTGTGTATGTGTTTTCCCATGTCCATGCACAACACATGTATGTGCACATGTGTATCTATGTATGTAGAGCCTAGACCTCAGACATTGTTCGTCTGGTACCATCTACCTTGTTTATTCAGACAAGTCTCTCACTTGCTTGGGATCTTCAAATAGATTAGGGTGGCTGGCTAGCCCCAGGCGACCATCCCCCTGCCTATTTAATGTGTGAATTATAAAAGCATACTATCATGCCTCGCTCCTAGAGACTGAAATCAGGTCTTTTCACCAACTGAGCTATCTCCCCAGATCCCCAGATTCTTAGTTCTTTTTTTTTTTTTTTTTTTTTGGTTTTTCGAGACAGGGTTTCTCTGTGTAGCCCTGGCTCTCCTAGAACTCATTTTATAGACCAGGCTGGCCTCGAACTCAGAAATTCGCCTGCCTCTGCCTCCCAAGTGCTGGGATTAAAGGCGTGCGCCACTACTGCCCGGCCAGATTCTTAATTCTTATTGTGTGCTTTGTAACCTGGGTAGAATTTCTATGAAATTAAAATATCGAAACCTAAAGGCCCTTGTAGTAAAAAAAACATTTTGAAAATTTAAAATGTCACAGGTACATTTTGTTTCCCTGCCGGCACTCTTGAGGAGATGCTGCAAATGATGGCAGCTCTAATTTAGATGGTCACTGCACACACTTGTATTCGCCAAGATGTATTCACATACGCGTAGACAAGCAGAGGTGGAAAACTTCTGGGGTTTCCTGGTAGGTGTGGGTCATCTGCACAATACCAGAATACTCTTCCCAGCAGAACTTCTCATGCAGATCTCATACAGATTAAACCATAAAGTGAGGCACACATGACGTACACATGCACCCTTGTACATAGACCACGTTGGGAACTGTGTGGCCAGACATTAGGTCCAACTTTCTAAAAGCATAATTGGTCATATCAAGAATCTATGCAGGCTTTGGGTACACACGCTGGCTTAGTGAATTAAAACTATTCCCCCTTTACAGCTGTGTTTAAATGAAGTAATGAGGGAGCAGCCCAACATGCACATTCATCAACACATGTGTGTGCACACACCCTGTGAAAATGTCCTTTATATTTATTTATCTTTCTTCTTTAATCTTCACATCATTATACCAAGAAGTTGTAGCCTGCCGCCTCAAATAGACTTTGATTCATCATCTTCCTAAAGATGTAAATCAGAGATCTGGCCTCACTCTGCAGTGTTACGTCCTTGACAATTCAGTTCCAAAACCCTGGGACCAGCTACTGTTATGAACCAGAGTACGTATCTGTGATGACAGACTCAGACCCTTCAGCAGAGAGAGAAATACCATCTGACCGTATCAAAACACAAGCTGATCATGCTGGCCACTGGGATTTCAGTGAAAAGCACAATCTGGGGACCACAAATGACAACGGTCAAGCCAGTGATGGTGACCTCCCAGCCTGCCAACCATTTTCTACTGCTCCCTGCCAATTCACCTGCATCTGGTGGCAAGGAATGTGTTTGTGACTTCCTGCTCTGTAGCATGATCTGGGCTATTGGTAATAAACAGGGTGACAGAATAAGAAAGTCAAAGAAAAAGGAAGGAGCATATTCAAATGAGGATGCTAGTTCGATGGAGAAGCATCACAGGGTAGTCGAGCTTGGCCAGAGCTGTAGATTTGGGAGCCCTTCTCCCCCTCTCCTGCACAGAAGGAAAAAAAAAAAACTCGGGGTAGTTAGAACTGATGCCATTTCATGTGATGAGTGACTCTTTTGAGGGCTCTAACTTTCTTGATCTTTGCTTCTGAAGCTTGAGGGCTGAAACCCAAGAGCAGGTGGAATCTATAAAAGACGGCCAATTGCTATTCCTGAGAGCATTTGGTAAAATAGGCTATTTTTAAAATTCAGCGAGATGGGCAGTGATTCTCCCTAAAACAAGTTGCAGCAGTGAGACCCACTCTTAACTCTTTCCTTGCTACTGAAAGCCATTTGGTAGGGTAGCCTGAGCCATCCCTGGCTCTGGGACTAACGACCATATCTTACCCAGGACTGTGATGGTGGTGTAACTCTCCTGTGGGGGGTCCGTGTAGAGCTGGCAGAAGTATCTCCCTTCATCCGAAATCGAAACATTTGTCAGTGACACTTTGAGTTCACTGCTAGAAAAATTCAGCAGCTGAAACCTGCTGTCCTTCAAAGCTGTGAAACAAAACACAGTTAGTGACTGTGCAAAAGATGGCCGACAATCTATTTTCCTTAACTAGGCAAGGGAAGAAGTCAGATGCTAGAAAGACAGGCACAGAATAGAAATACTTTCTGTCTTTCTGTATCTGTATGGTACTATTTTAGGCTTCTGCAGTAGCTGCATACAGACCAACCCTGCTGACCTATTCTAAGGAAATGTAGGCACACACACCAGCACCACCGCCACCACTTGGGGCAATTCCAGGTTCTGTGCCTCTTCAACACCTATTCTTAAACTGTTTATGGTTTCCTGTCAGAGGCAGGCAAAGTGAAATGGGAAGGAAAGAGTAGGCTGGGAGGACATGTCAGGTGGACAGCAGAAGATTGGAAACAAAGGTACTTTGAGAACGAAAACGCAAAGCCAAAAACAAAGGAACAAAACCTATAACAACAATGAAATGAACATCAAACACAAGCTGGTCCAAATTATGAAAGAGAACTAAGAAAAAAAGTAATTTCAAAGCAAAATGTAGAATATTAATTTTAAACATGCTTTAGAAGATCACTTAACTTGGCCACATCTGAATTTAGGGGACATGAATTGAGTGGGACAGCCTGACCCAGTAACTTTAGAGGCTGTAGCCGGTTACACAGATCTGTAGGTAAGTCCACCTCATAGTGGAAAACTGATCAGACCCCCAGAAAGGAAATCAGAACCATAACAAAGTACTGTATGTGAGTTTCTTATTTAATATGAGAATCCTTCTTCAAAATCTCCTTCATTTAGAAAAGGTTATTAGTACCACATGGATGTGAAATCTGGTGAGCACCCTGTGGAGCAGGGCTCTTCTTCCACCAATGGGTTTTGGGAATGGAACTCAGGAGGTCAGGCTTGGGATAAGCACCTTTAGCCTCAGACATTTCATGGGCCCTTCTTCAGTCCCTTTAAATGGTCCTTGTTTATTAACTTTTCCCACAGAATGGCCCAAATACTAGGAGGGGACAGGAGGCCAAGTAGCCAAAACAGGCATGATGGATACTTGCATCAGTGAGGTATCTTGCCAAACCATGGCAACCACATGAGCCTTTGGTGTCATATACAATTCAGTTTCAAAGGCTGGCTTTTGTTAAATTGCATTTAAATTGAATTCAGCATATGGCTATCTCTGTGCAGCAGAGGTTATGGTGAAAGCTGCGGTCCTGTCATTACAGGTATAGATTGCCTTGGAAACACCACTCTTTAAACCAAACAGATTCCCTATCAGAATGCTATATTTTCCTTGCCCTACCCTATTTGAGTTGTTTGTGTCAGCTAAGTATTTGGGACTCGATTGCAATTCACCTTGAATTACTGCAATCAATTCCTATTGCAAAGTAAGACTTTTAAAGGGGACCATTCAAGGTTTCTATTAAGTAGAAAGATTATGATTGCCTGTCTCTTCTTCTCTCTAAAGAATTGACTAAACTTTAAGCATCTAACATTAAATTAGAAAGAGGTGGCCTTGGCAATCTCTTTATCAAGACAACACATAGGTAAACAAAAGTTGCTGTCTAATACTGTGGGCAGAGACTTACGCCTGAAGTCCCTGAAGTAAATGGTCTGCCTGTTGGGGTTCAGGAGCTGAATCACGGAGTCGTCACTCTTATTGACTTGGCAGCTGATGGTTGCAACTTCTCCTTCAATCACTGTCACGTCTTTAGTAAACAGATTCTGTCCATCACCTTTAAGAAAAGAGAGAGAAAGGTCAGATGGAAGTCCCATCATTTAAATTTTGGTCTATGAGCTCCATTAAAGCAAAAGCGAAGTCAGAAATGTATTACAAACCCAACGTCTGCTATGACCCTAAATACTTTTCTCCCTACTTCACAGAACGAGTCATCAAACTAAGGGAGATCTAGGTTAAGATGCAACTGAGCTTGAAATTGACATGGTTCTAAGAAAGTAAGTGGTGCTGGTGTCCCAACCTCCGGTATTTTGAACTGTCAAGCAATGTGCTGAGGTGGAACAAGAAAGACCAGAGTACTAGCTGCTACGAACATGGAAGCTCTCCCATCGAAAAGAGGGAAGGTACGGCCAAGCTTAGACCATATGCCCTTGATCTAGGGTAAACTCATGGGCCAATTATTGAAGCAGAAAGAGAAAGACTCGTTAAATAACCTTGACTAGTTAGCAGGTGCTGACATTTCCAATGTACAGGCAGTTCATTTTGTCATGTATGAGAATGAGGACCAAACTATGTATAAATCCTTGGGATGTCAATAAGATCAGAAAGCCTACAGTTGAGAGTCTGATTTAACTCTCACAAATACACCTTTATAACTCACCCAAAGCTCAAGATAGGCCCGAGCTCACCGCCCTCCCTGCAGATCACCCCTTCAGCTGCAAAACAATTTCCAGAACATGTCAAAATGTGAGAGCTTTCAGCTCCACTGATACAAGGCTTATCACTGTATCTGCTCTAGCTTGCAGCATCAAGATGTGTTCCAGCAGCCAGAGCATCTCCTAAATGTGTGAAAAGATCCACAGCGCAAGGCACAAGTTCAATCTAGAAGCAGAAGATAAGGAACTGACGAGCTTGATTCTGTGGCTGGCAGAAGAGGGGACAGGGAAGTCCGGGACACTCTCCTAGCCTTTAAGAAGCTGAGATGTGGGTAAAACAGACATCAAATCTCTACTTCCCAAGCAAAAGGTGTATTTACAGGCAACAGATGTAACAGTCATTTAAGAAGGGGTAAAGACAGACTGCTCTTATATCAGGGAATTTATATAAAGTCCCCAAGACAGTTTCCCACATACAAAATGGGGGCAGTAATTAACAGCTATCCCACAGAGTTGTCACACACACAAAGCAGTTAGCATTGTGTCTAGCTTCTTGTCAAACCAAACAGATGGTAACTGCTAGTACTATCAACACTATCACCATCTCGATGACATCATCATCATCATCAGGGTCATCATCAATACCACCACCACCTCCACCATCACATCACCCTCCTCATTTCTCGAGGGTCCCAAATCCCCACATGTATTAAGCCATTATCATGTATGGGGAGTAGCAAATGCAAGAATTCAGGCTAAGGATTCCAGCTCTCTATGTAGCTAGAATGTGTCAGTTTAGGGTAGCTTCTTCACTCCTTGAATAAATGTTGTCACATCAAGAAGCAAAGGTCAAAGATAAATGATACTTTAAAAAAAATATAAAGGTAGCATAAACAGAGGCACCGTCAGGATAAACGGAGAATTTCCACCTGCAATCACGTTTCAAGGATCTTTTCTTGGCGGGACACAGGAAGGAAGTGTGATGGGGTGTCTAAAATGGCTTAAAGCCAAATCCACCTAGAAATAGACCAGCCCCTGGCAGAGGACTAGAAGAAAGGAAACCAGAAAGGGGGAGAAATGATTAGGGGTGCAGATAAACAGAATGCCTACTGCTTGCAGAGTAAACCCAAATGAACCTTGTCCTTAAACTCTATGAGCCCAGGGAATGAACCCTGTTGGGAGGATACTGGCCTGTGTAACAAAACTCTATGGCCCCAGGGAATGAACCCTGTTGGGACGAGACTGGCTTGTGTAACAGGAGGTAGGGGGACTGTCCTGGAGAAGCTTGGAGGGGCTGGGTGCTGTTACAGAGTGGCAGCAAAATGAAAGTGATCAGAGAAAGCAATGTGGGTGTTTCTTATTTTTCCTCTGTGATTACTGTGACAAACACAGAATTAAAAACCCAGTACGAAGGGATGGCTTATTCCAAGGTACAAGCTAAGAACAAGGTGACTGAAACTGCTGCCAACCAAGCCAGCTCTTCCAGGTGGATCTGATGGCTCTGGAGAAGAGTGACTAGAGAGCAGGACACCAGACACCGGATTGTTTGCTGGGTAACCTAACCAGGTAAGGAAATTAAGGGAAAATCAGGCTGTATAATGTGGGGATAAAGTAATGTTAAACCATGGGCTTGCCTTTAGGAGACAAGGATATCAAACAAGACCTTTTTGGGGCAGGCAGGGATTTCTTCTATCTGTGGGGAGTTTATTAGCAACACAAACAAGATTCTTCAACCCATGGAAGGTACATGTACAGAGGCTGTGAGTTCACAGGCATCAACCCCTTTGGATATCAACTACTACTTTGAAGCTCCCAAGACTTAAAGCTGCCTCTAATTTAATCCTGTTCTAATAAGCTAGTTTCTGGGGAAACAACTTGGCTCTAATTTTAGTCCTTCATGGAAGTCCTAAGGCCAGTATATTCTGAGAGAAGGCTCCTTTATTATATTCATAGTAGCACAAGGGGTGGAAGTCGAGGAGTAGAGCATGGTTTTGCATTTTAAGAACAAAAGTAGTGACAACATTAAGTCAAGGGTTTTTTTAATAACATATAGTACATATGCTTAATTATTACTGAAAATGGGGTATTACATAGCCAGTCCATTTACCATTTTCTTGTACTACAGAACAAGTCACTCGGGTAAACTTTGGCCAGCCATCTACAAACTTCTGTCTTTGCTGAGCTGCTCTGAAAACTCATGGAGACGTTGTTATGTGATGTTAACATCACAGAGTTATTATTTTCTTTAATTAAGACCAACCAGAAATCCAGTGTCTCAGAGAAATGTCAACTTCTAGCTATGCTAATATGGTTGTCCTATCAATGCAAAAAAATTATGTGATAATGAAATATTTGGCTTAAAGACATCAAAGTGCTTTGGCTGATGGTGGTGGCCCAAGGATGCCATTCTTTAAAAAAATCACCAATAAATTATACGGGTCAGCTGGATGACAGTTATATTAAACAGAGCCCTATACTTTGAGGCACCATAGATGGTTGCAATGGGATAATAATGACCTATTTATTTGAGGCAAAGGACTTGAGTGACAGCAAGGAAAATACAGTATATATGTCAGTACTCTACTGCCTGAAGCCTTTATGTAAAAATAATTTCTGCTCACATCCTCAAATATGTCTTCCAAACGGAAGGGTACATACTAGGACTTGATAAATTTCCCCCTTGAAATGGATGTTGAGACAATTAGGTTGTCACAAAATGCAATCTCATGTGTAGCAGGAGAGAAACATGCACCTTCGGTATCTTTTTTAAAGACTGCATTAAAAAATCCTTCAGAGTTTTCTAAAACTCAATTAGCTGACATGCTGTCAAGGAAGGAACAGTACATGTTCTGGGGAACAGAAATCAAACAGGTAGACTATCTAGCGATTAAATGAGGCTGTTAACAGCCAGGTAATTTACTTTAGGGGTGGAACACTGGCTGGCGTGTGTACACATTTTCGACCACTAATTGGTATATTTGGATGAAGTTTGGGAGACAGAATCAAGCTGAATTTTAACTTATACAAGAAGTTATTGTGATATATGGTGGTTTCCTATAAGGTTCAGATTTTTTGTTTTCTATTTTCCTATGTGTCTCTTCGTGTGTGCATGTGTGCATTTCCGGAGTCAGTTATCTTCTCCTACCGTGTGGGCTTCAGCCTTTGCTCACTGTTCCATCATGATAGCCCTGTAGTTTGTGTTTCCAGCCAGTCTTGCTCTGTGTCCCAGGCTGGTCTTCTACTAGCTATGTAGCACAGGCTAGCCTCAAACTTACGGCAATCTTCTTTCCTCACTGTTAAGTGTGCTGGGATTACAGACACGCCCCACCACACTGGCTAACTTTCAGAGTTGCTCCATAATCCCTAAAAACAAATCCCTGAATCAAAGAGAGCCCGCCATCTGTGAGCAAGCACCTTCCATTAAGCCGCTAGACATTTCTTGGACAGACAATAACAAGAAAGCTTATTGTCTACAAAAGGTGAAACTTACTCTGGTGTCTACCAGTGGCCATTATAGCCCCTTGTTAGGAGTGGTGTAGGGACACAGATTCCTTATTAGCTTTTTTCAGCTAATATAATTGCTCTAGATGCTTTTCTCAAACCCCATATTTTTACACACTTTCTTTAGATGGCATTGTATAAAATGCTGGATTCCATCAAGTCTATTCAATCAACAGTATGTTCTTACAGAAGTGACAAGTGACAGGATTTCAAAGCCAGAAGTGGAAGTGAGAAACAAGAAGGAGCACTAAGGTGTCCCCAGTGCTGGGCGGGGTACTGGCTGCTTCCCCATCTCCAGACTTCTGTTTCACTGCCTCCACCATAAAGACTGGACTGCAGAGATTGACTTGGGGAAGGAACTTTCCTGGTCGAGTTCCATAAGTGGGTGAGCTGAGCTGGTGTTAGAACCTGGCTCTGGAACACCCCCCCACCCTAACCCCACCCCCACACCCTGCTTACCAGCCAACATCTCAGGACTGGTTGCTAAGGTCCCTTGGGCTCTGTCTTGAAAATTTTACTTGTTTTTAAAGAGGGTTATTTCCTTATGAGCAACTTGTGTTTTTTTTTATTTCCATAATTTATCCTGAACACAATTACACACTTCAAGATGAGAGAGAGGCTGTCCTGAATGTAAAATACCTGTTTACTGCTGCCTCCTCCTCTTCCTTTCTGGGCTCAGCACTCTCTGCCCCCAGAGAAAGCCTTTATTACTAGGGCTCGGTGGGCATTTGCCAGTGCCCAGAACTCTCGCCCTTGCTGCCTGGCTGTTAACAAATAAAACTCTTCATTTATATTGGGGGAGGCTCGCCAGTCCAGCCCACAATAAAAGGATAAGTCAGAGTTAAAACAGACTTCAGCTTATGTTGTGGTAGCTATGGCAACTCCCACCTACCCACGCACA